TAATTACTTTCTAAATTATTTTTTAAAATAAACTTTTTAATGATTACATTTAATATATTAAATAATTATGAACTTTTTACCTGTTTGAAATCTTTTACAATAATTCGTTGTAAATTTGATAATTTGACGAAAGATATAAACTTAAAATTTGTTGCATTTTTTACGGTTTTCTTTTAAATAAATATTATTTTAAAAAAGTATTTTTCCTTACCTTTAATGAAGTCTACAGCTTGTTCCAATCCATAAGTATCTTTATCACAGTCGTCCAGAACGTAAGCACCGAGAGTAATATTAGGTAGAAAGTCTTTCTGACTGTTAACCCAATCGATTGTATATAGCATACACTCTAAAGCTTGAATACCTCCCTGTGGCATAATAGGTCCACAAGTAAGTAAATCTTCTCTTTCGTGAACCATCATCAGTCCCCCTAATATTATATCTCCTTCAATTTCCGCTATCTTCTTCACTGGCCAAGTTATGCTAGAGTTAATATTATTTATGGCCCATTCTTCTGTTACACAGTTTAAAATGTTACTCAATAGAATGAAACAAGTTGTTATTTTGCTAATCGTGTATTGTCGATTATCCGATTTCATTTTGCTTGTGGTTAGTTTCGATCGACATTTCTATCAACGACCAAACTTCGCTGCTTTCTGTTCTGTTTTTCACTCTTTCACCCGTTTATATCTTCTCCGGCATCCAATAACAGAGTATTACTACCACGTGATCGTTTCCTATTGGTTAAAATTGTTTTATACCGTAAACACGAATTATTTNAAATTTTTAATACACTAGATTATATTGTTTATTTTCAGTTATATGTAATTAAATAAAAAATTTTAAAATATTTATTTAATTTAATGTTTGAGATTTATTAAAGAGACAGAGAGGATGAACATGTATCCAACAGATGGGTACCACATATGAGGGAAAAGGAGATTTCTCTGTCCAAGGAAAGTCCCCTGCCGGACCAAATTTGTTCTCACTTTCAAGTACTAACAATTTAAACATAATAAAAATCATTGGAACAGATCGCCCATACACAATTCACGAGTTTGTTCAACCGAATTCGATCCCGGATCCCCAGAATGGTTGGTTAGCACCTCCGCCTCGGCTATCTGAGTCGATAGTTTAACGTCGAGTTTAAAATAACATTTTTTAACAAACATCTCTTTTTATCCTGAAAATTCTCACATTATATAACTGAAACTAACAAAAAAATCTTTTAGCAGAAATGAAATTTACGCTTCAACTATTGTTATATAATCGAAATAATGTCCTCTTGTATTGCAGTTGACAAAATCATAGATATTTGAAGGTTCAATTTTTCTGAAAGAAAAGATATCAAATTCAGAATGCAATTTTTCGAAAACTATTTTTCACAAATACAAAACTTTTTATGTAGGATATAAATATTTCGAAGTTCTGTGCTGATAATAATCATCATCGATTCTAGTTACACATATCAATTGTAACAATGGATGACAATGCTATATTGAATATACATTATCAAAAGTCTATATTCAGATTCATGAAGAGAGCAATAACTGATTTTATAACTATACAAGACGTCCAAACACACAAAATATCATTTATATCTTAAATTGAGTGAATAAATATTAAATGTTGCTACGTTGTTTATCCCAGATAAACTATGTAGCAACTTATCCTGTTGCTACGTAATTATAGACAAGACAAAAATTTGAATAAAAAAGATATTTCTTATAAACAGTTTTGCTTTGTTCTTATTTTTTGTAGTTTTAAAACTTGAAATTGAATCGATACATTCAAAACGTTAATTTTCTAAAAACCAATTCCAATTGTTTTTCTGTATTTTCTCATTATTGGACGTTATTTTTTGATGATAATTTGCTTTCCCCCTGTTTTGATAGAATTTATGAAGAGAAAAATAGAAATAGCTTTACAAAAATATTCTTCTGCAAATACATAATCTCTTTACTTGTGATGACAAACATTCCTAAAAATACATTATATAAGATTTTATTTGTAATCACTAAATATTTAATTAAAAAGTTCGTCAATAATGAATTTCTCGATAATAATTGAATAATAGTGTATTTACTTCAAAAACAATTTTGTGAAAACTAATCAACTAATTTCTCAATGATAATAATTGGTAAAAATTTTTAATACACTAGATTATATTGTTTATTTTCAGTTATATGTAATTAAATAAAAAATTTTAAAATATTTATTTAATTTAATGTTTGAGATTTATTAAAGAGACAGAGAGGATGAACATGTATCCAACAGATGGGTACCACATATGAGGGAAAAGGAGACATCTCTGTCCAAGGAAAGTCCCCTGCCGGACCAAATTTGTTCTCACTTTCAAGTACTAACAATTTAAACATAATAAAAATCATTGGAACAGATCGCCCATACACAATTCACGAGTTTGTTCAACCGAATTCGATCCCGGATCCCCAGAATGGTTGGTTAACACCTCCGCCTCGGCTATCTGAGTCGATAGTTTAACGTCGAGTTTAAAATAACATTTTTTAACAAACATCTCTTTTTATCCTGAAAATTCTCACATTATATAACTGAAACTAACAAAAAAATCTTTTAGCAGAAATGAAATTTACGCTTCAACTATTGTTATATAATCGAAATAATGTCCTCTTGTATTGCAGTTGACAAAATCATAGATATTTGAAGGTTCAATTTTTCTGAAAGAAAAGATATCAAATTCAGAATGCAATTTTTCGAAAACTATTTTTCACAAATACAAAACTTTTTATGTAGGATATAAATATTTCGAAGTTCTGTGCTGATAATAATCATCATCGATTCTAGTTACACATATCAATTGTAACAATGGATGACAATGCTATATTGAATATATATTATCCAAAAGTCTATATTCAGATTCATGAAGAGAGCAATAACTGATTTTATAACTATACAAGACGTCCAAACACACAAAATATCATTTATATCTTAAATTGAGTGAATAAATATTAAATGTTCAATTTATAATTAATTATTATGATATCTGTTATAATTGCTATTAATTACAAACGATTCAAATCAATATTTTCATAGAATAGTTAAAAATTAATATTAATTATGCAAATCGTAAAATCGAATATAATAATATTCAATTCAAAAGTATGAATTAATTTAAATTATTATACTGAAATCATTTATAAACATCAAACAATGTAAATTAGCATTAAGTTCCTCTGTTAACGAATCCCAATCTCATATTGTTTAAAGTTTGAACTTTGAACTTCAGAGTTTCCAATTATGATTTATTTAAAAAGGTACTGCTTTTAGGTAATAGGTTAATGATAATACAGTACATAGGTTAATGGTTTAGTCAGACCTGACAATATTTTGAAAGAGTTCTTAATTAATAAAATTCAATAGAATCAAAGAAAACTTTTATAAATTGTAAATTTTACTCATTTTACATTTAAAAGAAAAGAAATTATTAATTACTTCGTTCAAATAATTATAATTGAACAACATTTCATCAGATTA